TGTGTCCCAAAGGTTTTGGTATGATGTGTTTTCATTCTCGTTTGATTCTAGGAATTTTTTGATTCCATCTCTGATTTCTTCTATTACCCAGTGGTTTGTAAGCAGGGTGTTATTCAGTTTTCATGTAATTGATATTTTTCCTTGCTCTTCCTGTTGTTAATTTCTACCTTGTTGGCGTTGTGGTCAGAGAAGATACTTTGTATCATCTCAGCATTTTGGATCTTGTTGAGGATTGCTCTATGGCCTAAGATGTGCTCTATTCTGGAGAACATTCCATGTGCACTGGAAAAGAATGTGTACTTTGCAGCGGGTGGCGTGTTCTACATATGTCTATGAGGTCAAGTTGGCTGATTGTGCCCTCTAGGTCTTCTGTATCTTTGTTGAGTTTCTTTTTAGATGTTCTGTCCTTTACCGAGAGTGGTGTGTTGACGCTTCCTACTATTATTGCAGAACTGTCAATTTCTCTTTTCAGTGCTGTTAGAGTTTGTTTTATGTATTCTGGAGCCCTGTCATTGGGTGCATAGATGTTTATTATGGTTATATCTTCATGATGCATCATCCCCTTAATCATTATACAGTGGCCTTCTTTGTCTTTTATGGTGGATTTTGCTTTAAACTCTATTTTATCTGTGATTAGTATTGCCACTCCTGCTCTTTGTAGTTGTTTGCTTGCTATATTTTTTCCAATCTTTGATTTTTAATAAATTTACGTGTTTGCTTCTAAGGTGTGTCTCTTGTAGACAGCATATTGATGGATCCTATTGGTTTATCCATTCTGTCACTCTCCGTGTCTTTATGGGTGCATTTAGGCCATTTACATTCAGTGTAATTATTGATAGGTGTGAGTTTATTGCTGTCATTTTGTAGTGTTTTTTTTGTGGTGCTGACATTTTCTTTGTTCCTGTTATTTTCCTGTGCTGAATTCCTTTTGTTTGTGGATTTTTTTCATTTCTTTTGTTTTTGTAGGTTCTGTTTTACTAAGCCTTTATGTTTTTCCTCTTTATGTTGATGAGTAGGTTTGTTAACTTTCTTTGCGGTTACCGTGAAATTTACCCTTATCTAAGTTCGAAGCAGTCTATTATTACTTGGTATCGCCTTGTCTTCCTCTCCATTAGAAGGTTGTATACCTACACCGTTTATTCCCTCTTTTATTGTTCTGATGTTGTTGTCATTTACAGATTAACTGCTCTGATTCTCTGCTGTATTTCTTGTGGTTTTGGATAGTCCTTGAGAGTTCATTTCCTAGATTGGTATCTGGCTGGTATGATCCTGCATCCTAGATTCAGCCTGTGAGGTGATGTTATTTGTTCTCAGATTGAAGAACTCCCTTTAATAAGGCTTGTAAGTTTGGTTCGGTTTTTACATATTCCCTTAATTTCTATTTATCTGGGAATGTCCTAATTTCACCATATTTGAACGAGAGTTTTGCAGGACATATTATTCTTGGCTGTCAATGTTTTTCTTTCAAGGTTTTATATATGTCATCCCATTGTCTTCTTGCCTGCATGGTTTCTGCCAAATAATCTGAGCTTAGTCTTATTGCTTCTTCTCTGTATGTGATTTTTTGTTTTTCACGAGCTGCTCTCAGGATTCTCTGTCTTTGGTTTTGGCGAGTGTGATTATGATATGCTCTGGTGATTTTCTTTTGGGGTCTATCCTATATGGGGTTCGCTGAGCTTCCTGGATGGCCAGCTTTTCATCTTTCATGATATTGGGGAAGTTTTCCGTTAGCAGTTCTTCAATGATCCTGTGTTTTCTGTTTTCTCCCCTGTTCTGGAACTCCAAACACTTGAAAATTTTTGGTTTTGATTGTATCCCACATAATTCTCAGGGTCACTTCATTTTTCTTCATTCTGATTTTTCCTCAGAATTGTTTCCAAGTGTTTGTCTTCAATTTCACTGATCCTGTCCTTCCACCGTTTCAAACCTGCTCCTCAGCCCTTCTATGCCACTGTCCGTTTCTGAAATCTTGTTGTTTATCTTTTGGATTTCTAATTGTTGTTTTTGTATGACTTCTAGTTGTGAATTTATTTTGGCATTTTGTTCCTGTATTATTTTCCTGAATTCTTCCATTTTTTTGTCTTCATTTTCCATGAATTTGCCTGCCTTTTCCATGAATTTGTCTTTTATTTCCTCATTTTTGTCTGCTTTATGCTTCAACTCTTGAATAGCTCTGAATATTAGAGATTTGAATTCCCTATCAGGTAGTTCTAGTGCCTTTTCTTCTACTGGAAAGTCATCTGGTGTTTTATTTTGGACGCCTACTGGAACCATCCTGTCCTGTTTTTGTAAATGTTTTGATATTGTCTGCTGTCCTTGGGGCATTTGGTAGTTATTTTCCTCATTTACTGATTGTAGATTGGTTTGTTTCATCCTGCTTTTTTGTTTTATTTGGCTATGTCTCAGCAGGCGGGCTGTGTGTTCTTTGTTGTTCGCTCATCTGTGGGCACGATACATTTCGCCTCCTTCTCCAATTGGTAGGTCAGTCACTCAGATATGGTACAGCAGGGCAGGTCTAGCTGAAGAGGAGTTGCTGGGATGGGTTGTTTGTGGCACTTACTATGGCCACCAAGGTGGGCCGGTAATCAGTGCAGGGCAGGTTCTGGTAGGCTGTGCTTGGGCTGGTTGGTGGTGTGATGTTTAGCACACGGTGCAGGCAGGCAGGATGAAGGGGAGAGACTGTGATGGGTGGAGCTAAGATGGGTATGGGAGAGAGGAGAGAGGAGCAGGAGCCAAAAACATACAAACAAAAAAGAGTGCTAGGGGAGCTTGGAGTGGAGAGATGAGAGACTATGAAATGGAGAAAAACAAAAAGGAGAAGAAAATCAAAGAAAAAAAAGGAATAAAAATTAGAAAGAAAAAAGAAAAGAAAAGCTCCCAGGGATCCCACCAGTGCGCCTGCGAGGTCTGGGGAAGTTGCTCCCAGGCCATGAAGTACAGCCTGGCTAGAGGGGGTAGAGGTGTCACTCAACGCCAGGTATTCAGGGGACAGGAATAGAAGGAAAGTATAGAGATATGAGAAACTGAGTAATGAAGAAAGAGAAAAAGGGAAAAATAGGGAAAAGAAAACAGAACAAATAAAAAAAAGAACAAGAAACCAGCCTCCCCCAAAAAAAATAGAAAAAGAAAAAAAAAAAAAACCCCAAGAAAAAAGAAATGCCCACAGGGATTCCTCTGTGCGTCTGTGCAAACTGAGGGGGTAGGTCCCAAGCTGTGCAGCACTGCCCGACCAGAACGGGCTCCCGATTGGAGAAAAGAAAAAGAAAACAAGCAAACAAACAACCTAAAACAAAGGAAAAAAAGCCCCAAGATCCCACCAGTGTGGCAGCATGGGCTGGGAAGAAGCCCCACACTCGAGCGGCACCTCACAGCCCTTCAGGAAGAAGTAAAGATGGTGCACGGAGCCAGGTATTTGAGAGAAAGGAGCAGGAGGTGGTGAGAGGTAAGGAAGAAATCTAAAGAAGTGGAAAAAAGCAACACCAGCAGCCAACAAATGGCACTTAGGGAGCTGGCCAGTGTGGGCGGATGGAATCCAAGGGACACTGGGGTAAAGCTGGTGCTTCTCAGCCAAGAAACTGTGGCCACAGGAAGCAGAGGAGGCCGAGTGGGGGTGAAGAAGGGTGGGGGGTGGGAAAGCGTATATCACTGTTTACCGGTTGTTCTGTTTCCTGCTGGAAGCTCTGTGAAGCTGCTTTCTCGTACCCCCTGTTCGCTGATCTCTGATAGGAGTCCAATATGGCAGATCTGTGCTGCGTTAGCTGATAGGTGACCTCTGCATGTATCTCTCCTCGTTCTCTGTTCTCTGTCAGTTTCTTATTCCAGTCAGTGCTTGGCTGAGTTCTTTATCTCTTCATTTGATGTTTAGGGTTTCAGGATTACTGTTTTCTCTGTTTGGTTTAGTTTTTCAGATCTTCGCTGTGGCGGGACGGCATGGTGTTTCTGTCTATAGTGCCATGTTGCCAGGAAGTCTAAAGACCTAAAATTTAAGCTCAGAGTGGTAGTCTGTAAAGTTAGAGATTTTATTATCTTTGGTTAAATTCATGTGATACAAGGATAAAGACATATTTCAGGAGAAGGATAAACTTATATAATAGCTCATCTTTTATTCCACATGTCATCTGTAATTCCTACTGACTCAAGGAAAGTACAGTGTCTTGGGCAAAGAAAGATGAAAAGTATTTATTTTATTTATTTACTAATTATTCACATTTACCAGAGGTGAGGAGGTGGAAGAGAGAGCATCTGAATCAGAAAAAAAAATTTTTTTTTAAATTTTTTTGGTTATGTGGGAATTTGTCAAACTCAGTAAGGCAAGAGCTGCTATGAATTTATGGTGAGCACATTTTAAAAATTACCCATTTTGTAGAAATCACAACAATGATGGCTGAGATGATATAAGAAGACCACTCATAAAAAATGAACCAAAATGGGAAGGTCAAGGACAGTCAGATAGAACACGTTTGAGTATTCCTTGTGTCTCTAGGTCCACTAAAGATCTAAACTGGTAATCCTTCTATTCAGAGAGTAACTATACATGAGGTCACTGCCATTCTTGACTTTGGGATTCTGTACAAGTGGTTGAGGAGGCAAATGGTACATAAATAAGGGGGCTCCAGTCATCAGAGATATCCCTCACACCATTGAGTAAATACTAAGTTTCATCCTTAAAACAAGTGCTCTTGAATAGAAATTTCTCAGGAAATAAAATGAAGCTTGAACTCTTAATTTATTCAGCAAAATATATGTCCTGCTTGGTGGTATCTATAGTCTCAAAATATTATTTAAGGCTTGTTTTATGTTACTTAACTGTCCAATATATTTGTAGCTGATATTTCTAAATAGATTATAAAGCCCCTAAAGACAAGGAACACATCTTATATTTCCTTGACCTTCTAAAATGAGTTGTACTTAACAGGCAATATACGTTAGTTCTTTTAAATCGTTTTTAATAAAGTGTTTTTTTTTCCCCTCAATAACAGTTGCTTAAAAAACAAAAGCAAATGAAGCATACTCTACCCTGCAAGTTCAAAAATGTTGTTGATGAGGTTGGCTCGGTCTTTGTCACTCAGAACATAAGGATCTGTTTTCAACTGTTTAATCAGTGCTTCCCAGTCCTCATCTGCATAGTGTACAACATAATAGCCATTCATGTTTATATTGACTTTGACCCACTGCACTTCTTCTGTAAGATTGATGACACCTAATCAGACCAAAAAATAAAAGGTGGGAGGTGGGAGGTGGAGGAGAAGGGGAGGAAGGAAGATAATAGAGCAAGAAAAAAAAAATTAAATGAATACTTTGTTTCAAACAAAGTTAATATGGTATATACATTTTTTATTGTTGTAAAAATATAGCTAACACATCACTTCCCAATTCAACATTTTTCCCTTGTACAATTCAATGGAACCAATTACATCAATCACATTGTGCAACCATCACCATAACATAATCACCATAACAAATAACCCATGCTCAGTCAGTAGTCTTAATCCCAGGGTCATGGGTTTGAGCCCCATGTTGCGTGGTTTCATATTTTTATATTTAATTATTCTACTACAAAACCAAATGTCTGCCTCCCAGTGTAGCTGTTTTCATGTCAATAAAGATCACCACTCACTCATTTAACAGTTACTTATTTACTGCATATTATTGGCTCCAGGTGAAGCATTAGAGATCAAATGGTGAACAAGGTAGATACGTCTGCTCTCATGAATCTGATAGTCTAATGTAAACATGCAAGCACAATATCATATAAGTGCTACTGATGGACAAAGAAAGCATGGCATTCTGTGAAGTACACAGAGAAATGCTTCACTCTTCTAGGGGAGACTTCTTGGAAGAAATGACATTTGTCAAGACCTAAGAATACAGAGGTGTCAGTCAGGTGAAGAGAGTGGAATAGGGGCCCTAGGTGTTCATAGCTCAAGGAGAATGTCCATGGTCCATGCACTGAACTGGCTTTCAAGTTCATTATGGCTAAAGGAGAAAGGGAGAGTATGTGTAGGGTAAGCAGCAGGGGAAGACAGTAGGAGAACTATATAAAATGTGTTCCATCTCAGCCTTTGTCTTTTGTTCTGTTAGCAAAGGAAGAATAAACAAAGGCATTTAGAAGAGTTGCATAATTTAAAGCTAGCAAAATAAACACTAGGGCAGGCTTAAGGTCTCACTAGGCACAAACGGGATAACTGAGTTAAAAGAAGATAGAAAAGTTATATGCACTTTTCAGGCCCCTACCATTACATCTATAAGTGCTCAGAATTGTTAGAAATTTCTACAGAATGATTTCAACTAATGTGAAAATAATGAGTTAAATGACTATAAAATATATGTATAAATTTTTAAAACTAAAATTACTCATCAAAAAATACCCTTTGAAGTTGGCTACATGGATGTGGATTTACTATAAGATGCTTCCAAGTATTCTGAGCTTTACTATTTATTAGGAATATGTGCTCCATGAGTTTACTATTTTGTTCACTGCTAATCCCTCAGCCCTGAAAACAATGTACCTAGCAGGTGCTCAAAAAATACTTACTGAATTAATGAATGAATGAATAGTAAATACGTCATGAGAAATAGTTTCATATCAAACCTAAATGAAGACTGTAGATATTTATGGCAAGTTTTTTTTTCCCCACTTTAGAATTATGGAATACTAATTTTTAAAATTATAAGAGAAAGAAGTGTAGAAATAAGAAAAATAAGTTAAACTCAGACAATGATAGCATCCCAGGGGTGTATATCCTGCCAAGCTTTCTCCTATACATGTTTTAATTGTTATATTTTATACAGTGGAGCTATATCCATTTATATTTGTCCTGCTTTTTCACTAATTAGATTTTCTCACCATTTTTCAATGTCTTCAAATGCACTGTTCAAATATCTGCATAATATTCCATTTCAAGAATTACCAGTTTAACCAATATCCTGTTTTGAAACATGTAGGCTGTTTTAAAATTTTCACTATTATAATAATTATATAGTACAGGTTTTTGTATACAAAATGCTTTAGAAACACATTTTAAACACAACGATTATATATCAGTCAGTACACAAAGCCTTAGGGTTTGTCAACCTAAAAAGTATGAATTAATTCATATTTACCAGATACTCTTAGATCTTAGTTATATCTTAGTTACTCCAATTCTCCTGATACTGCAGAAGATGTTTCTGAAGATGTTAAGATGTATGTCATGTCTTAACAGGACAAATCAGCTAATCAGTCTTTTTCATTACAAAATTCCACACTAATTTCTGTTGTATTGCTAAGATAGCAACAGATGGGGAAAGCTCAATTAGATTAAATAGGGTTTATTTCTTTTTCCAGAGCAGGATTAGTTCTAAGGACTACTTGTGATGGCAACAGTAGCTGTTCCAAGTTGAAATTATTATTAACAAACTTATGACTAATGAAATTAACTTATTATTAGCTAACTCAAAAGTATCAACACTCTCCAGTTCAACAAAGATAACCATCTACAGAGCTTTTATCAAGAAAACACTATGGAAAGAAGGGCTCCAAATCTCCTTTACCCTAAAAAAAAAAAAAAAACACAAGGAGTGGTAAGTATGGCAATTGTTCCACTGGATAGATGTAGGAAAATACTGAAAAACAGAATATTTTGGCTGATAAGCAGCTTGCCATGTTATAAACCTAGCCAAATCTAGATGGCAGAGAGGAAGAACGCAGCTGGAAATGTACTCGAAATTATTACTGGCACTGAGATGACAGAATACAAAGCAGTGCAGCCAACAACATAAAGAGAGGAGAGTTACCATTTTTTAAAAAAGCAACAGATTAGTCTCTTTCAGGTCTTTTGAATGATCTAGAATTGAGGACCCTAAGCCACAGATATCAAAAAATAATAGCTTTGCACACAGGGAGATAACTGCATCCTGCAGCTCAAAAATGTGGATGAGGCTACCCTCATACGTTTTCAATTTAACAGAATCATTAAGAGATTAACAGTTCAATTCTTCAGTCCCCTGAGTAGTAAAAAAAGAGCGAGCAACTCCAATCTTTAAATGGCAGAAGCCCAGACGAAGTAATATAATATTGATTTTAAAAAAAAATTTGTAAACGAGTTGTAAAAATCAACTACTGTTTTAAAAAGAAACATTAAAGCACAGAAACAAAAAAAAAACCATGTCTTTACTACAAAGTTACAAAATTTCCTGTCTGGTTTGCTCCACTGGGCTAGAATGATACAGGCAGTCAAATTATAACCCTCTTTTTCAAAAGCAATGCTTTCTCCAATACTCTTTTCTTTCTCCTTTATTTTATTAGGGGGAAGAAACGGCAAGAGCAGTGAATGGCACATGATAAATATTTTAATTACATGCCCTTACTAATTTTTCCTTCTCATTGCCTTTTACTCCAAAGACATGTCCCTTGGTTTCAGAAAAATATTTCTACTACAGTCATATCCATTCAGAAGCATGAATGTTTCAAGTCAGATTTAATATAAAAATCTCCCATAGTGAAAAAGCTTGGGCCTGAGTAAGATCTGGGAAAGTGAGGGGAAAGAAGAGAGAGAGACACTTTTTGAGTATGTAGGCTAGAAAAACGGTCCCTTTCAGCCCTTCTTATGTACAACAAATATTATGTGTTTAAAATTAATATATGTGGACAAAACTGACAAAGATATGGGCCAGATTTAATTCCTTTATATGACTGAATTAATGTACTAACCACCACCCGATATTAAAACATAAAAATATACTATAGGTTTAACAAACCATGAAGATAATACACAGAACAAAAGTCATATGGCATAATACAAGCCTGAAGTCACTCTCTCTGCCCTATTTCTTTTGAGAATAGAAAAAATGAAAATGCAATTAAAATAAGAGTGATTCTCAATGGAGCATTAGGAACCAAAAAGACCCAACTGTCCTAAGGGTCAAACATTTTCACTGTGGACTCATAAAAAAATGAACTGGCAAGAATTAAAACAGCAGCAGCAGCAAAGGAAACATCACAATTGAGAAGATGTGACAGACACTGCTTTCATTCATCATATACTGGCTCGGTCCCAGCTAGGGATTAAACCAATTGTATTATAGTACACTTTGTATATTCCCTTTTACTAAGAATCTTTTCAAATGACGGGAAACAGAAGATTTAATTTCATAAAGCTTTGAATGCCCTTTCCCTAGACCTTTTAACAGTGTGATTTCAAATTGAATCACTTCGCGTTGACTAAAACTTATTCATTCAATAAATGTTTGTGTGCCTACCGAATGCTAAGGTCACAAAAGTGATTCACACAGCCATGATCCCTATTCTCAAGGAGGGGACACATCTAATAGAGGATAGATAAAAATGAAACAGTACTTATAGTACATTATGACAGCAGAAGTAGAGAATGCTATTAAGACATGTAAGTAGGGCATCTAACCAGTCTTGTGGTAAGGGGAAGGCCTTCTGGAGGCAAACAATGGGTGAGCTGAGATCTGAGGTGAGGAAGGAGTATTCTTCAAGGAGAGGAGACAGCATATGCAAAGGCCCAGAGATAAGAGGCAGAATGGCATGTCTGAATTGCTGAAAAGAATTTTTGTGTAACTGAAGTACAGAGTGGCCAGGTAAGGGCTTAGAAAGAAAAGGCGATAGCAGGAAAATACGAACTAGCCTATGGGGTGTGAATTTCAAAAAGAGTTTAACAAACTCACATTTAAATTGAGTTAAAGGGTAAAGGGATAATAAAAGCAGATCTCTTAATGTCCAGTTATTTCTAATACCACCAAAAATTAATACACTATCAGGAGGTTTGCAAAATTTCCTTCTTGGTCCCTTTCGAATGTTCCAGCCACATTTCGGCTGTGCTACAGGGTATAGGCAAGTGGGGTTATTTGTCCCCTCTTAGGTCAGAGATTATCCTTTCCAGGGCCTACTTAAAGTTTGGGGTTTTTCTTTTCACCAAAGAAGGCAGCACTTCTCTGCATCTCCAGCTATGCTAAATTGCCCAAAGACAGGATGACATCACCAACTGTTCCTCGGGTTGAGATTGTTGCTGTTGTTGCAACACTCTACTCTGGTAAACGTGCAATGACACTGGCATGCTCATATATTTCAGGTGGCATTATCAAAAGTTACCACCCAAAAGAAGGGCAAATTAGTAACATGTCTCAAATTACAAAAGGTAACAAAGTGATTTCATTTTGGAGAAACATTCCTAAGAAAAGAAATTCATATAGTGGAAAATCTTTAAGATGCCAAATTTTTATTGAGGTATTTTTAAATAAAGACACTGCAATCAAGTATCCAATAATAAAGGAAGGGTGAAGTCAATTACTGTGTATGTTTAGTAAAAAAAAAAAAAAAAAAAGGCAAGATATAAAAATCACATGGACACAATGATTTCAACTAAATAAAAATATATTCACTAAAAAAATGACAGGAAAAAATAATTATGGGAGTAGTATGAAAGGATGATAAAATAAACTGTTTTCCATTTTCAAAATTTTATGTAATGTATATATATTCTGTTTAAAGATTTACTTTTCCAGTAACACCAATATTAATGATAACTCACAGTTAACAGCATGTAACACTTACATGCCAGGTACTGTTCTAGGCAATTCCTAGAAATTAACTCATTTAATCCTCACAACAATCCTAGAAAATAAGCGTAATTACTATCTCCATTCTATAACTGAAGGAATGCAGCTCACAGAGGATAACTCACCTAAAATCTAAGAATTGAACCAGGCAATCTGGCTCCAAAGTCCATTCCCTTACCACTAAGCTACTATCAAAAACACAGGCGTGCACACCAGTTCCAGATTCAAACAAGAAACTTTCCCCTTTCCATAAATCTCTAAAGCATCACTAATGGTTCCTACAGAACCCAAGAGCCTTATGTTCTTTCATGTAGTGTGTTATTCATGGTGGCATTTAACAGTCAGAAACTACATTTCAATTGCTTTGTATAGGCTCCCCGTAGTTCGGCATATATCACCTTTACATTTAATTATCCCCCTTCTCCTTGCTATCATAATTTCTTGCCCCATTTTCTCATTACCAGAAAACACATACTATATCTGCAGGACATTTTATTAATAATTATTTACTGTAAATCTAGGTCATGAATCTGAATCTTTATTATGCATAAGAATCATCTAGAGTGCTTGTAAAAATGCAGTTGCCCCAACCCACCCCTAGAACGTAGCCAGCAGAGGGTACTTTAAGAAACTGCTCTACTTCTACTACTTCTTACTTTGTGACATAAAACATATATCTAGGATAAAAGAATATAGTATTTGCTATTTTCTACCAAGGCTGCCAGGACATTTTTTGTAACTTTTTGTACCTTATTTCACTTGACTAGAGAATGACCAGTTTTGTGCATGATATATAGAATCTTGCATATGTGCACCAGCTCAGAAAGTTTGCACGCTGGAAAATGTAATCTCCTTTTTGTCCCTGGGTCAATATTTTTTTAAAACACTATTTCCAATTTCTTATCAGAGAAGTGTTATAGTAATTACCTGATTTCTTATCCAGTAATAATAATGATCGATTTTTTTTTCCATCAGTAATATAGGACAGTGGAATATGCCACAGGTAGCTGTAAAAAGAAAATACTCTTTTCAATTTTAAGTATTACTCTTTTCAATTTTAAGTCAGTTATAAATGATTCATTGTGTCTTTTTTTCAGAAGTGGGGTGAAAATTTTGAAGCTATTACCAGAGAAGAATAATTTTGTTAGGTTTTGTAAGATCCTATGATTACAAAACATTTAAAAATACTTCTACCTGTGGGGGCTAAAGAACACAGCATAGAGAGAAAGAGGGCATGCACCTTGCATCTGAAGGCTGAAGTTCAGGCTTTGTATTTAAAAAGAATCTCTCTTGTTGTACAACAAGTTCCTTTCCTTTCCTTTGAACAGTCACTAAGGGAAATCCTTTCTGCAGGGCCCAGGTTTTCATCATCTTCTTCACATCTGATGTTTTGTTTGTGACCTATGAAAAATGAAGAAATTATTTTTGCTTAAAGAGAAAAATTGGTTTAGAAACTTTACAGTTTGTCTCTACCCTTCCCTCTTTCCCTAGCACATTCTATGAAGACTACATTTAATGTGACTATAAAAAGGCATGAATGCTCTGAGTTGAGTCTACATTTTTTAATCTAGGTAAACAAATGACTCTGATAAAAAGAAAGTAAACTGGAATAGAACTAAGTGATAACTAACCAAACCCATTGCCATTGAGTTGACTCCGACTCTTAGCAACCCTACAGGACAGAGTAGAACTGCTCCATGGAGTCTCCGAGGAGCAACTGGTGGATTCAAACTGCTAACGTTTTGGTTAGTAGCTGAGCTCTTAATCACTGTTCCACCAAGGCTCCTAAAAGAGAGTGAGAAAAGCAGCACATACGCCATCAACCAACTGAGCATTAATTAAAATTCCTAAGAAGGTATATGTGCTCTTCTAGGCCATGATAATATCATTTAGAAGATATGAATAATGATATATAGTCTAGAATCAGATGCATTGCTATTAACTCACCCCCATGAATCTATAGGGTCCAGATTTCTCCTTGTTCCCTGGACCTTCTGCCTTCATAAATATTAAAGTTCATCTTTTAAAGAACTAATATTGCAGGAATGCTAGGGAGCAGCAGGCAGCAGCGGAAGAGTAAACCACTAACAGGTCAGTCGCCTTCACTTTAAGCTTCTCTGTACCAGTGCTGAATTTTTTTGTGGTAATACACCCTTTTTCCCAGAAAATACACGAATTTACCAACAAAATCTGGCGTCTAGTGTGAGAGGGTCACTGACCCTCTAAAACCCACTGCCCCTAAGGCATCTGGTATCAACGATTAAGAGGCAATTTTGAAAAGTCTCTTTTTAAAGCAGGTGGATAAAACTGGTAATTCAAATTATTTTTCTAGATTACATACGGATTTGGATTGCCTGTAACTAAAATCATCACATACCTAAATTGTTTGGTAATATCTCTCCACTATTCCAGCCCCTACTTCGATCACCATATGCCTATTTCTTTGAAGCACAAAATGATCGGGCAAATCTTCCCAAATTCATTGTGATATTAATTACACATGTTCATGGCCCTGACCTCTTTATTTCTGCACCAGAGGTAGAGAGGAAAACACGTTTGCTCAAAAGCAAGATGGTCATACTTTTGGGTCTTAGAAGCAGAACTCCAAGGAGAAGGAGCTAGTGCATAAGATATCTTTGGTGTGGATGCTGAAAACCTGAGGATAATTTTAGGGACTGGGTTGGGACAGGGAAACACTATGATGAAAAAGTTAAAGTCAATGAGGAAGACAGAAATATATTCTAAACGTGAGAAGATAAGACAAGATATATAAAGTAAATAGCATGGCTTTAAATTGAAATGTTACTAAATGATAAGAGAAAAAACAATAGTTTGGAAGCAACTCTCACGTAATAAAAACTGGCCCTTCTCCATGAGAAATGCAAACAATAGGGGAAAGTATCTCTTCTGAGCAAAGGGTTAACAGCTAGGAAAATACCAGGTTTCAGATAAGGCAAGGAAACACAAAGAATATATGGAAAATATCCAGAATAGGGATTCTTAACCCAGGGTCTATTCAACTGTGAAACTGTGTGTAATATTTTACACATATGTGGTTTTCCTGGGGAATATGTCTAGAAGTTTCATCATATTTTCAAACATGTCTGTGATTTCCCAAAACATTAAAAATCACTACTCTGGATCAAGGTAACAAACTCAAATGCTTGTGACGGTTGTGCAGTTAGCAAACATGCAGGAGGTGGACTGGGCTCATGCACTGCTATGAAGTGTAACTTCCACCTAATTACACCGCTTTTTAGAATATTTGCAGGCATGACAAAATGCAAACAGCAAATCCATGCCAGGGCACAATGCAGCCCATGAACAACCAGGCTGTGATACATCATCTATTTTAGAGGAAAAGGGCCACAAAAGACAAGAGATTCAAAGGACAGACTACAGGAAAAAAAAAAAAAATCATGAATGGCAGGTAAAAAACAGGGAAAGGAGAAGAATAGGAAAAGAGATTTTAAAAAAGTCGAACAACAAAATTATAGTAATTTACATTAATACAGAAAAGACAACTTTCTTAGCAAAACAGACATCGAGATTAAGATAAGAATAAAAATGGCTATACAAGGCCACACACATATTTTTTCAACAAGTAAGAAAAGTACTCCCATTTCTTGACTTTCAATTCATTGCAGTATTTGTAAATATTTATATATGAAGCTCTATCCCCCCTTTCTCTTAAATAACTATCCTTAGTACCACAGACTTATTTACATATTTGATAAAAATATAAAAAGAACTCCTGTCTTACTTTATAAGCTAAGCAAAATATCCAAGTTGCTTACCTCATTAAAACTATCCCATAGATCATCACTTCGAATGGATGCATAGCTATGATTATGTAGGTAAAGAACAACAGCATGTTGAAACACATCTTCACTAAGATAAGTTTTCAGCATCAATAAGAGTGAAGCTCCCTATTCAAAAAAAAAAAAAAGGAAAGGGAGAAAAATAATACCATAGATTAAGGAATTGAGAATCCAAAATTCAAACTATAATCATTCTAAACCTTTATTTCCATGCATAGAACATTGTTATAATACACTGTTATTTAGTCTCCTATAACCAGATGTGGACTATGTGTTCAAACTGCCTTAAAAATTATTTTAAGGGATTTGAAAAAGAATTAAATGGAGTAGACTCCCATGCACACTAATTCTACCATAAGCCACTGTTTACATGTTACTTATCTGTGCTTTTGGAAAGCTGTGTTTATAAATTTATTTTTAATAGAAAAACATGCCAAATCTTCTGTGGCATTCCCACCCCCAGCCCCGATGCTTAAAAGTTATTGGTTGAATTCATCGGCACACTGCTGGAGATACAATAAATGAGCAGAATTCTCAAAAGTCTCTCTGCTAGGTAGTATATTTATTTTCAATTTTAGTATATCATGTTGCTGAAGTAATCAGGGTCTCTTCTTCCTGCAGTCACTTCAAATATGTTTGGAACTGATGAATGTATAGTGCAGCAAACATGCATCAACACTGCAGAATCAGGCATGTAATTATTAAATCTACACACTATATTCACTCATGCAAATGTCATCATTCCCAATCTTGAAACCATCACCTCCTCTGTGAAGCCTTCCCTGATTCAAAATAAATACCATATTTCACTATCTTTGAAAACACTTTCTATCACTTCCTACATCAGTTATAAGTATTTATTCTCTTCCAGACTATGCTAGTTGAGGGAAACATTGAAAAGCTCAATTTCAATGACTAGAACAATACCCAGTATATAGTAGGGACTCAAGAAGCTTGGAATGAATTTCATTTCTGATAAAAATGTAGCAATGTTATGTCATCAAGATTATGAGATACACATAAAAACCAAAACCAAACCCAAAGCCATTGCCAGCGAGTCGATTCCAACTCATAGCAACCCTTTGGGCCAGGAAGAACTGCCCCCTACAGGGTTTCCAAGGAGTGACTGGTGGATTCAAACTGCTGACCTTTTGGTTAGCAGCCAAACTCTTAACCACTATGCCACCAGGGTTACATATAAGTTCATACCTAATACTCCCTTAAGTTGTCCTATAAATTTAAGTACTCATTCTTGTTCTCAACAGCCCCTTTTTCTCCTCTATCCCTCTCTACTGAAACTTCCCATTAACAAACAAAAACTACGTAATGTTCCTATTTTGAACAAATAAGAGACACCCTACCTTCCCACGACCCGACTTCATCTACCACTTCCCCCTCTGCTTACTCCACTCCAGACTCATTGGCTCCTAGCTGGTACTTCGTCATACCAAGCAATCTCTCATCTCAGGTGTGTAGGGGTCCCCAACACCAGCCCCAGGTTTGATGACTCACAGGACTCAGCCTGTAGATGTACTCACCACGATGAATTACGTGAAAGGATACAAAGTAAAATCAGCAAAGGGAAAAGGTACACAGGGCAAAGTCCAGAGGAAACCAGGCACAAGCTTCCAAGAGTCCCCTCCCAGTGGAGTGACACAGGATGTGCTTAATTCCACCAGCAATGAGTTATGACGTGTTAAATGTTGTCTACTAGGGAAGCTCATTAGAGACTCAGCACTCAGGGTTTTTATTAGTGGCTAGTCACCTTCTGCAGCCTTGGTGGCGCAGTGGTTAAGAGCTACAGCTGCTAACTAAAAGGCTGGCAGTTCGAATCCACCAGCTGCTCTGTGGAAACCCTATGAGGCAGTTCTACTCTGTCCTACAGAGTCGCTAAGAGTTGGGATCGACTCGACGGCAACGGGTTTGGTTTGGTTTAAGTCATCTTCTGCCTAGCACATACTCCCAGACTCCCAGAAAGCAAGCAGATGTTCAGAATGAACCACATTGTTTGTACAAACGGTTTAGGGATGTTGAGCAATTTCTATCAAGGAATAGTGGAAATACTCCCAAAACTTCAATTTCACAGATGCCAGTCAAGGGCCAACCTTGCAAGCAGGCTTTTTCAAAGTATAGTAGTCCCAGGCCTGCTACATTACCTTTTTTCTGCAAACAAGCCTTTTACATTGGCTACTTCCTCTGCCTGGAACAGTCTCGCTCCCAGAATCCACACGCCTCATTCCCGCACATCCTTCAGATGGTTGTTCAAATGTCACCTTATCAGTGGTCTTCCTCAAATAGCATTTCCTTTGTCACTATCATTTCCCTTATGGTGCTTTATTTTTCACATTAGCACTTATCACCTGACACAATACCTATGTAATCATTCACTTGTTTAGTGTCTGTCTCTAACCTCTGACCCCTGAAATGGAAGCTCCAAGAGACATAGTCCATCTTGTTCCCTGATCACCAGCGTGCAGAACAATGCCTGGTGCGTGGCTGGTGCTATAAGATTTGCCAAATGAATGAATTCTCACACAGCAACCTGCATCAGTATTATGCTTGATGATTTTGAAGACCAAAAGAATATGTTTATCAATATTCTTGCATACAATAGTGGTAAATTACCCAGTGTCCTACTTCTCTCAATTTTATGTGGGATATTTCCCAAATTAGCAATTCTGAAATAAGTATTACCACATCAACAGGGGTTAAGTATGCTGTAGGACCACATAATCAGAAAACACTGAATTCCTGGTTTAGAGGGTGGAAATTGGAGGAAGACAGAACTCCGTAATAACAATTCCTGAAAATAAGTTTTGTTTAAGAATAGAACCATAAGTTTTTATATTGTCTTTACTGACAGGTCCAGTATGGGCTCAAAAAAAATCACAGCATAGCTCTAATTGGAATATATTTAATATAGCTAATTAATGTATTTAATACAGCTCATTCATTTCCTTGCTAATGGTACAATTCTCCTATCAATCAGGCTTGAAACCTGGAGGACATTTTTGTCTCCTTTATCTTCCTTACCCTGCACTACATCATTTAAATATTTCTCTCCCAGTGCTGTATATACCCATCACTTTCTTTCCACTGTCATTATGGCTTCTCATTTCAAACTGTTACCATTTCATTCCTGGACTTGAGCAGCAATTTCATGACTTCAGTCTCTCCCCACTTAAATGCACCTTATAAACTGAAGCCAGTTTAATTTCCCTAACTTTGACCAAGTCATCCCTCTGTTCAAAAGTATTCTAAAGTTTTCCATTGCTTACAGAGAAACAATCCATATTCCTTACGGCATTCAGGACCTTCTACAACTGAGCCGCAACTTACCTTTCCCATCTCCCCTCGCCCCACATGCAGCTTCCGGTGCCGTTCAAGGGTGAACCTCAGGAGTGATGCAGTCTGTTTCTGATCCTGCAATCTAATCTTTAATTCTTAAAATCTCTTTTTGCTTACTTACTTTGACAATCCTGACTTTAGAACATACCTCAATTCTCAGTAAAACAGCCAGGGGCTTGTTTAGGGCCTTTCTTCCCTGGACATACTCTACCTGTGCATCTAGAGAATAAACCAACTTAAAAAAAAATATTTTGCTAACAAGATCTGGTTAACTGCCTGGAATGTTAGTCAAAGAACTTAAAAGAGAGACAGAGGAAGAAAGAAAAACTCACAAAAAGTTAAGGCCAAGATTTAAATAGAAGCAAACATCTTAAAATCCAATTTAATTAGAACAGGACAACTGAAAATATGACCTAATCTTTAAAATAATCTAAATCATGTTGCTTGCTCACATATGAAATAAATTTCAGAACTACTCCAGGTACTTTTTTTGTGCATAGCAGTACCTTAAAATAGGAAACAGAATCAAACATTTCTTCAATCTGTGCTGAAGACTGAACAGATGATGACGATATTGGATGAGATGAATTCAAAGAATCTTTCTTCATGGTTTTAAATCGAGCATCTAAAAAATCTTCATACTAGCAAAAAATTAAACAGGTTGGGATATCATGAAGAGTATCAAAGGCATAGTAATTATTCATGTGTATTAGAGTAATAGCTGTTTAAGGTCACTATGGAAAAAAAAAACAATATAAGCTTTTGAAAATGTAGGAAGACTGCCCTTCATGCATATTTTTTAGTTTAAAAATAAAGTTATAACCTAGTCACATGAAAAACAGCATTTCTGAAACAACAGCATATGGATGAATTTATCTATTATTATTAAAACAACCAAATGCCAAATTCTGACATTCAAGATGAATACTAGTAAAAAGATGTGTATATATTTTAAAAATAAAATCTGAAATTAAAAAAAAAAATCTGATTCTTAAGCTTTCTTATATATAATCCAGCTTTTCTATTAAGATAATATACATTTCCCTAAATTGAGGTTTATATTAAATAAAACATAACTCTTAAAACAGAAATAATTCTTTGAGAGCTCAGCAGATGAGCGTCCCTAGAGCATATATTAGCTTTTAAACATTCTGGGCACCCCCAAGTGGTGAAACTGTGTATCTCATTGCTTAAATAGCATACAACAGATTTAGAATATCTTGCTTAGTATTCTGGCTAAAAACTAGTTCTGCTTACCCCTTGAAAGTTTTGAAGAAGCCCTACACAGAAATTTCAGAGTGAAAACTCTAGGGTACTTCTGCTTGGAACCAGCTTTGGATCATATCTCCAGGAAGTTTAATAGAAAGTCACAAAAAGGGATCTTTATATTTTCCACCTACTGGCTTGAATTATTTTTGCAATATCTATCATATGACAGCCTACTGCGTCTTAATATCTCTAAGGATAGGAAATATCTCTAGAGAATGAATCAACACAGTGAAAAATATTATTATGCTTCCCTATAAAAAATGGTATTCCAAGTCTTTGGAAAAGAGCACGAAATATGACGTGTACCTAAAAAGGTCCAACTATTTGTCTGTACCAGCCTACATATCACTTTTACAAGAATCTACACACTGATAATAGAGAGACAACGTTATTAAAAAAAGTCTTCATTTCTCTTCTCTTCATACACAGGATAAAAAGTTTTGTTCTGTGAAAAATGCTTTTCAACTTTATCTAAAATTCCTTTGAACAGAAGGGCCACATCTGTTAAAAATAAAATGCAGCAAAGCCATTAAAAACGTTTATCTTTTGACAAGATTTAAAATAATTTCAATGAAATATATCAGTAAATAAAAGTGTAATTTTCATTGTCAAATTTCAAAAAATATAGATAATCAGTAACAAGAGTTAATTTTACTGTACCTTTTTAAAAACACTTGTTACTCCAAATACATAAAAAATACATGGCAAAAATGAGCTATTTCCACCCCCCCCAGCATTCACAGTAGGCCTTAGGAACACTATACTTACACTTGAGAGCTCTTCAAATATTTTTTCCAAAGAGAAGTACTCCATGAAGGTGGCAAAACCTTCATTCAGCCACAGATCATTCCACCACTCCATCGTTACCAGATTACCAAACCACTGCGGAAAGAGACAAACTACTAACCAACGTGATATTTACATTCTTAGGCATTTTCTAATAATTGACTGAATTTGAGACTTATAAAAGTGATATAAATTTAAAAATAAAATAAAAATTTTAATATTTAATTGAATGGAAAAACAAGCAAGGAAGACTACTAGCATATTTACCAACTTAACACACATGCTTAATACTAGGTAAACTATAATTTTTAGGTATCTCATTAAAAGTAATGTTTTCTAGTTAATGAAATTCTTCTACCTTCCAGTAACAAGTTAGCATGTAAGATTATTTTTCCATTTTATCTACTACTACACATGACAACTAAAAAATAAGTTTCTATGTGAGAGATTTTCTTCTAGTCAAAGAGCCCAAACTTCATGTTTCTCCTCAGTTGCCCAAGTTGAGGACAGCACTTACATGATTCAAAACAGAATTCAAACATCACTTCATAAGAAAGTTGGCATGCATATAAACAAATGTAATCAGAAAGATCTTTAAATGTGTTCACATATGAGGTAGTATGAAACAAAGATGGAAAAAAAAAAGATAAGACTCTCCAAAAAAAAATGTATCTCAAAAATCCTTGAAATAGAGTGGCCATAGGATTTGCAATTGGTCATTGTGGCCTAGGGCTTGTCTCAAACTCGCAGCAAAAGGCTAGGGTTACTAGATACCAAAACAAGACACTTTCGAGTTTCCATATCTATAAAATGGGATTATCACCTACCTTAGAGCAGTTGTGAAAATGCTGTGTAAGCTATAATGTCCTATACAAACTTTAAATAGCAATTTCATCTGAAAACTAAGTTTGTTTTAAAAAGGTACCTTTTTATTATAGAAGGCAATTCTATACCAAAAAGCTGAATTATTATTAGCATCTAAATCTATTCTAAAACTCTAGGATATGAAGTAGACAACAGTATGAGATTTAACAGCCTTGGCTGCTAATACCTGATGGGCCAGCTCATGAGCGATGATTTTAGTAACTAGTTTTCTATCTGCCACTGAAGAAGTATTATTGTCATACAGAAGTGTCTCTTCTCGAAAGGTGAGCAAACCCCAATTTTCCATTGCTCCTGCTTCGAAGTCAGGAATAGCCACCAAGTCTGGACATAACAAGAAAGAAGTAATCAACTTTCCTTGTATAAGGGGCTTCCTAGTTAAATTAAAATATTTTACTCATTGGTTTATTACTGTGAACCAGCAGACATTGAGTTCTTTTTATAATCCTAACAAGTGGAACCTTCCTTATTCTAGCCTTTCATGCACCTCACCTACCCATCAGAGGAGGATGATCTGATTAACTCCTTTTAGATTCACTGTTCCCTGTCCCTTAGCAAAGAAAAAATACCTAATTCCTTCACAGCAAGTCAACTTCCCAGAGCAAGAAGGACAATGTGCAGGGCAGACACACTTCTATTTAAGCACCAGCTTCACATCAAATAGTTCTAAAATCCTCTGGCTGAACTCCCATTACTCAATTTCTATTATCTGAATCAGGAATTTCTTAGAAAGTTAGAATTGGTCAAATTCCAGGCTAAGCCTAAGCAAATCCCCATTTATAGAGCATCTTCATAACAGCCTCACAAGCTTGTTTTAAGCTCCAAATTCAGATACATTCGTGGAGTCTAAATAATCTTAAGAACTACAAACAATTTTAAAGCATTAACAGTATTTATTGATTCTCTTTTAAAATAATCTTAGCAAAAGCTCTTTCTAGAAAAACATTTGCAAAATGAATCTAGGTTATAATCATAATGAAGACCAGAAGCAATTTGATTCTTACCTAATTTCTTAAGTGGGTACTGAATTTCAAAGTAGTTTTGATAAAACTCAAGAAGCTTTACAGTGGTTTCCAAAGCATGGTGAACTTGATCTATCTTTTCTGGTACAGCATATACAGAAACCTAAAGGGAAACATAAGTATGAGATAAGGAGAGGTACAATTAAAAGAGCATAATATTCTGGTGAACACTGTCAAGGCTAGTATATTTGATTAGACTGGACTATGGGAGATAAAAGGATACTTGTGAAGAGACTGCTTCTTAGCTCAAGTAGATACATGAGACTAAACGGGGAGCTCCTGTCCAGAGGCAAGATGAGAAGGCAGACAGGGTTAGGAGCTGGTTGAATGAACACGGGAGATCAGGGGTGGAAAGGAGAAGTATGCTGTCGCATTATAGGAAGAGCAGACAGTGTCACATAGCAATGTGTGTATAAATTTTTGTATGAGAAACTGACTTGAACTGTAAACTCTTACTTAACGCACAATTAAAAAAATCATCTATTAAAATAATAATAATCTATATTAGTCAGTCAATAATTACAACAAAAATGAGAAGGTAAGGGGACAGGGAAACTAGATTAATGGAAAGGAACAACTAGAAAGAAAATAATGAGATATTCATGCATTGTGAAGAATATATCCAATGTCACTGAACAATCTGTGCAGAAACTGTTGAATGGGATACTAAACTTCTGTGTAAACCTTTACCAAAAACATAATAAAATACCACTGAAAAAAAAAAATAAACTAGTATATTTTAGAACTTCATAGAGTTCTGTCTTTTAGGACAGAAACTCTTGCTTATAGCTCTTTCAGCCTCCATAGAGCTTAGCAAGTCCCTTCCATACAACGATTCCTTTTTTATTTTTTAAGCTAATATAACATCCAACTACTCTGGATCATTTTATAACAATTTATAAGCATTTTCTCATTTAATTTTATAGTACTCTCTTTCTTGCCTATGCACTATCAAGACTGTGAGTTTCTTGAGGGACAAGACTAAAGTTTCATTTTTCTAGTGTATCACAGTGTCTGGCATCTTGCAGGCTTTCAATACAGAGGAGTCACATCTTACAACGGAGTTAAGTTCTTAAGTTAACATCTAAGACAGAAATTGCACATTTGTCAAAATTACCCTAGAAAAACCTATTAGAAATCAATGTACTCTCTCTCAGGAACTATGGCACAGCCAGTCCTCATCACCCACATTATTTAAACTGTCACTCTTTCTCTCTTCCCTTTTGGCTAAGTGCATAAGTTAAACACATATAATGTAACTCAATTCTAAATGTCTTACTCAGTAAGTATCAAAAGGCAAAACTTAAGCAATTACGTTCAAAGTAATGGCTTTTAAAAAGAAATATTTACTGTTTTCCAGTTGATTAAGAAAAGCCCTCTATACTCACATGGGAAACTGGGATGAGAATTAGCAGAAAATAAAAACCCCAAAATGAAGCTCTCAACAGATGAGAAATAGAATCTGACAGAACAACTAATCATATGGACAAAATATACTGGTGAACAACTCCAAATTAATTTTAGTCTCTCATAAAGGATTATAAAACTGTCAACAATTTCTAAAAGGTCAAATGGATTTCAACCATAATTGTCTTTATGTAGGACTTCAGTCTATAGAACGTATGTATTAATCACAGAAACATGAAGGCAACATGGCATAAAAATTAAACGTGAAGAAAAAAAAATTGAAGAGTACAGGCTTTGCACTACAGTGCCAGGGTTCAAATCTCTGCTAGTCAAATGACCTTGAGCAGGTCAGTTTCCCTATCTGAAAAATGGTGATAAAAACAGCTCCTACCCTCACTGGATTGCTGTGAGGATTAAATGAGCTAATCACATATAGAATTTAGAATAATGCCTGACATAGGTGCTCCATAAATGCTAGTTATTATCATATTACAAACAGAATTCCAAGAGAATTAGGGCCAAATATGTGTGAGCAGAGTATCATGGCAACAGTTACTAGAAGAATTAAGTGTCTAGGACTGGAATTGACCAATTAAAAATATGCTGCTTTCTAAAATAACTATGGAAGATACTTAATCTCTCAGGGCATGTGGCCAAGTACACTTCACCAGCCCAGCCTTCCACCATCTGTAGCCCTTGGCACCCAGCTGCACCAAGAGTTTATTAAAATTCAGTCACCAACTGCCACAGGAACTATAAGCTGACCTGATGTGTGCACTCCCTGCATCTTTCTGCCACAGAGGTTAGTTTTAGCCCTAAATGGGAAAGAGAAGTTTATACAAAACTGAAATCTAACCAAAGGATCCACTTAGTACCATTTCTGGAATACAACGATTAGGAAAAAAAGGTAGTTTGGTATTTTCTCTTCCTTTCCACTTCTTAATTCTTTTCTTTAAAAGAACGTGCGGTATGACTATTCGACTGTTATGAGTTCTCACTAGAGATAAATCATCTGGTTATTGTAATTATTATTAAGCTTTTTCTAAGAGCAATAGAAGCAATAAGAAAAAAATAAAGAGAGCAATCTAGCTCAGCAAAGAGTCTTAAACAGCATTCTGGGCTTGGGACTCATAGTGACCCTATAGGCCAGAGCAGAACTGCCCCATAGGGTTTCCAAGGATCGGCTGGTGGATTTGAACTGCTGACCTTCATGGTTAGCAGCCTGAGCTCTTAACCACTTCACCACCGGGGCTCCAGTAATAGTCTAAACACTGTCAAGTGGAAGTCAATTGGCACCTAGGCCATAAGACTTGTAACTTAAAACTTTGCTTGCCAAATCTCTCACTAAGGCCTTATGGAAGATTTCTAAACAGCGTAACTATAAAGACCCCCGGTCAATTCTCAGAGAAAAGGGCTCTTTTAGGCTGAGGAATAACAAACCTAACTTATTTGTTCCTTAATTTAACAAAAACAAAACTAAGTAATGAAACCAAAAACAGAACCAAATCTCTTCCCAAAAGAGGACAATTAACAGGACCTGCAAGATTTATAAAGGCAGAAAATACTGGAGGCTTCCAGTACTCTTTTCTGACAAATACCAGGCTTCCTAAACAGACAGCTGGAGAGACGAAAAAGCATAAATTCCTAAACAAAAACCAGTCTATCAAGTCAATCCAGGATAACTGATTAGCGGGGACTTTAGGAGAATGATATAAATTGTGTATAATGTCCCAGCCTGATAAAGAAATAACTTGAAGTAGAATTGTTTTTAGTGACAATCTGGAACTAAGTTATGCTCCTGACTGAATAGAAATAAATTAAAATTATAAATTCACATAGATACCACTAATGGATCTGTTTTGAAACTTAAACGGATGTACTGTCTACATCTGACTAAAAATGATTAGATTCTGATTCTACAAATTAGATCTGTCCATGATGAAAACAAAAGCAGGCAATAGCAAAAACAAAAACACCTCAGGACAAATAGATAAAGCAGTGCATTTCACAACTGGCCTAGAATTTTCTAGGTAACTCTGGCATTACTGAAGGGCAGACAGAGGTTTAAGAAACACTGAAAAATGAACAGAAATGAGAAATGTTCCTCCTTCTTCAGGTTTTTGGTAACACAGTCATCTTTACTGCTGCACAATACATGTTTGATAATCCACTGTCAACTCTGACATTTTTAGTTGCTTAAAAGATTGGTATTAGTAAGGAAAGCTCTATTGACTTATTCCTGGATGTTACGAAACAGCACTAATGTCAAATATTACAGAATATAAGCCATCCTAAATGTGATGGTTAATTTTATGTGTCTACTTCGCTAGGTTATGGTTTCCTGTGATTTGGCCAAACACTAATCTAGCTGCTGTTCTATAATGTCATCTAATGTAATTACCTTTCATACTGTAATGTAATCCAATCAGTTGAAAAGGGAATTTCCTTAAGGTGTGTTCTGCCTCCAGACTATAAGTAGATATTTCGGCAAAACTCATTCTCTCTTTCCACTCTGCATTCTTTCCATCTCCTGACTCGACAGCCTGCTGCCTGACCTATGAATTTTGGACTTGCCAGCCCCCACAATCACAAGAGTCAACTCCTTAAAATAAGTTTCTCTCTCTCTATATATATATGTGCGTGTATCACTGATTCTGTTTCTCTAGAGAACTCTGATTAAGACATCAGAATTATAACATTTTAGCATAATAAAAATCCTTTGTTAGAATTTAAGTCTAAATTTCTGGTCACTAGTGGGTCAGTGGTTAAGCACTCAGCTGCTAACCAAAAATTAAGTGGTTGGAACCCACAAGCTGCTCCACAGGAGAAAAGATGTGGCAGTCTGCTTCCATAAAAATAACAGCCTTGGAAACCCTATGGGGAACTTCTACTCTGCCCTATACGGTCACTAGGAGTAGGAACTGATTCGACGGCTATAGGTGGGTACACCTATAGAAGTTATTTATGTCATCTGGTGTAAGAAGCAGTACACTGTAGTAGATATTAGAATTCTATCACTTATTGGCTGTGCAATCCTGGGTAAATTACTTCACCTCTCTGAGACACTGTTTCCTCATCCAAAATATGGGGATAATGTAAAATGAATAATATAAATTGTGTAAATTGTTCCAGGCTGATTTGTAAAATGAAAAGATGTTTATAAATGAGTGCCTAGGGCAGCTGCCAGCACAGGGCATAACTCAATGCATGACAGATTCTTCCCTATTTCTTACGAATTCTGTTCCAAAGCTGTCATCAGGTAAACAAGAGTAACCCACGGCAATCAGTTATGGTCTCTTCTGGTGTCACTAATAAGAGGAAAAATTAATAAAACTATTGTTTATTTGTATAATGTCAATTCTTTCAAAACACATTTACTACCAGGTAGCCATTAAAAATGAAGACTATATTTACAGACATGCAACAGAGTTTTACACATGGAAAAAAAGGAGGTGCTCAAAGTAATATTCATGGTATGATTTTTTTTTTTTTTAAAAAAAGAAACTGGAAGAATAAACACAAAAATAACAGTAATATATATATAACAATAGAAAGAGGGAGGAAGTGGGGATAGGAGGAGAAGGGAGAGGAAGGGTTTTTTGTTTTTTTATTTACTTGTATGAGACAGCAACATAGTAGCATGGTTAAACATGGACTCTGGAGTCGACCTGGGTTCAAACCTCTCCTCCACAGCTTACTAGCTCTTGGTCCTTGAGCAGAACACTCTCACCTTCTTTAACTCTAATACTATATTGCTTATATTAGCCTGCTCTCTTGAGGTTTAAATTTTAAAAATCCCTGGTGGCATAGTACTTAAGAGCTATGGCTGCTAACCAAAAGGTCGGCAGTTTGAATCCACCAGGCACTCCTTGGAAACTCTATGGGGCAGTTCTACTATGTAATATAGGGTCGCTATGAGTTGGAATTGCCTTGACGGCAATGGGTTTGGTTTGTAAAATGCTCAGTACCTAGCAGATAGTAACAGTAATAACTCTAACAATTTTAGGTATTGTTAGTAGTAGTAATAGTTGAACTATTTTCTGATTTTCCTATAATGACCATATAATTCTTGTATGCGCGTTAAAAATAACATAAAAATGAAAAAAAAAATTCACAAACAAGACCTTATTTGATCCACTCAACTATCTTATGAAATTAAGTGACTTGCCCAAGGATACACACACACACATACACACAAACATACAGCAAGGACATAAGTAGAAACTTGATAAGCACCAATGCTTCATTAACCCTAGTTTGGTGCTCTTTTAGTCAAACAAATCACAGGCTACTATACTGCAGAACACTTCCTGTTACGATTAACTTCATTAAATAACACTATATTCATCGCTCACTATGTAAGATGCATAAATGAGTAAATACAAGAAAGAAGATTTGAAGAAATGCAAACTCTAAGGTACCTTCCTGATTAAATTTCTATTTTTAAACGTTTATTAACTTTTATTATTTTTGAATTATTATTTCATTGTATATTATTATTATTGACTCCATTAAAATTTAATTTTTCTTTCTACTTAAGACAAGTTTTAACTTCTTTTAAGTCGCTACAGCACTTTAAAATAACTGTTGATAGCTTCAGTATTCAGTCTTCATTGTATTCTTTCTGGATTATTTCATTAAGGAAATGGTTATGAACCCAGCACCAATACATTATCTGGCACATGGATGTGTAACAACTATTTGTTGAATGAAATAATAATATTAGCCCCTAGCTAGGAAGAATTTTACATCCTGTTGTGAGTTCTCCTATCGTCTTTAGGTCCCTTGGGTCATTATACCTTTCTACTTCAAGTCCTTACTTGTTCTCTACTGTGATCTGACAGCAGGAATTATTCCATGTTTCTATGTGTCTCCAGCTAATTTCTCATTCCCAATTGATATCCTGACTTAAAAATTAAAATTACTCTGTATTGTACAATCTGGATTATGCTTTATTGGCAAACAACCCCTGTAATTTATAAATTACTTTAACCATAGACAAATGCCTGATTAATCAAATAATCTTTTCTTTAAAAATATTTTTTAAAAAAATGAAACAAAACAAAAAGCCTGACTGTGATGGTTTTAAAATATGTCTGCAAATTTTTTGATACCTCTCCCTTTAAGAGATGGAGCTTACAGTAATTCCCCTCCCCTTGAATGTGGGTTGGACTCAGGGACTCACTTCAAGTAAATAAAGTACAGAATAAGTGACACTGTGTAACTTCTGAGATTACCTCATAAAAGGCTCACAGCTTCCTCTAACTCTCTTTCTTGGAAAACTCAATATGGAGGAAGACAACTGCCATTTTATGAGGATACTCTAGCAGTCAGCTCTATCACAGGTCCATGTGGTAAGAAAAGTGGGTCCTCTCATCAACAACCAGCACTAACTTGCCATGTGTGTCACTGTACTGCCTCGGAAGTCAAGCTGTCAGATGACAACATCCTCAGCCAACACCTTGACTGCAACTTCATGAGAGACCCTGAGCTAGAACCACTCAACTAAGCCATTCAGAGATTCTTGACCATAGAAATGATATGAGATAATAAATGTTTATTTTCTAAGCTACCAAATTTTAGGGTAATCTGTTGCTCAGTAGTAGGTAACTAATACACTAAGCTTGATTTTTATTTAGAATTATATAAGGATGTCTGTTACTTATTCCAGTATACATTCAGTAAAGATGCATGCCTACTCTGGGTTATAAGGTGGGGAATCAGAAGGAAATAAACACAATCTATTATATTAAAGAGCTTTACAAGGAATATACTTGAAAAACAATTATAAAATAAAGTAGAATATTATAAAGCAATAAATTGTGAGGTTCTGAGTATAGTGGTTTACAAACTTAAAGGACAATACATATAAACTAGAATAGTGAAGGAGGGATTTATGAAAGAGTTGAGGCTTCAGCTTGACTATGAAATATGAACAGGGTTTAAATAGGAAGAAATGAATTTTAAAAGAATGAAATTAAAGCAGGAAGGTTCAAAGGCAGAAATGAGAATGAGGTATATATGTGAGCAATGAATAATTTAGTGTGGCTAGATGGAAAAATTCACACTGGAGCAATTGGAAATACAGCTAAAATTGTGGGGAGGACTTTGAATATCTGAAAGATGAACAGATGAATCTGAATGTAATCCTACCAGCAGTAAGAACCAATGTAGCAGCTGAAAGAAAGAGAGAAGAGTTTAGAAAGACAAAGGAAAAAAAAAAGAGTAAGAAAGGAATTCAAGGGGGAGGGAGGAAAGAAGGAAGGAGAGAAAAGAAGGAACAAAGGAAATAAAAAGCAAAGACTGCACACATTTTGGAATACAATAAAAAGTGCTATACGATATGTGAGGAGTCCTGGGGTGGTGCAAATGGTTAAGTGCTTGAACCCATCCAGATGTGCCTTGGAAGACAGGCATGGTGATCTGCTTCCAAAAGGTCACAGCCTTGGAAACCCTATGGGGCAGTTCTAGTCTGCATATATGGGATCACCATGAGTCAGAATCAACTTGATGGCAATCAACAACAACAACAATATGATATCCGGTATTTTATATCAAAGAGTGTGATAAGAATTAATGCAGAGATGTGACTAAAGTGCTACGAAAGACCAAAGAGGGAATAACTAATCCCACCTTCATGGAGAAGGTGGCATTCATCTGGGTCTTGAATAAGAAGCAAACCTGACTCTTTCAAGTTTGGTCTTTTAGGCTTTATCAAGACTGCAACCTCTCAATCAAGGGCTAAATTTTTAGTTGTTATTGTTAGGTGCCATTCAGTCAGTTCTGACTCATAATAACCCTATACACAACATAACAAAACACTGCCCAGTCCTGCGCCACCCTCACAATTGTTGCTACGTTTGAGCCCACTACTGTAGCCACTGTGTCAATCCATCTCGTTGAGGTCTTCCTCTTTTTCGCTGACCCTATATTTTATCAAGCATGAAAATTTGTGGTACAATGCTTGAAACAATTAATTATTTTCAGATTTAAACAAGTCTTAATATCCTTTTGAAAGGATTCTGAAAAGGTTTAGACTTCACATAAAGTCTTTCATCACCAAAGGGAAGTAAACCAAATTAGCACTTACTCAATATGTAGTATATGTTTACCCTTAAACACTTACTTTATTTTTGAGTAGTGCACCATCCTTTAATGTTGAGCATAAGGGCATATAGTATTATTGCTGATAAATGGCCAGAGAATCCTTATCTCTAAGAGGTATGGGGTAGACATGAAAATCTTTTCTAATAGAAGGAGTTTACCCTTTTGAAATAGCAAAATGTTAAGATTTAAATATATTGTGGTTAAAATAAAGCTCTTTAGTCTATAAAGGAAACACAAAACCAGCTATGTATGTTCAAAGGGTAGATAATATTCCCTGTTAGGAATTTTAAAAAATGAAAAGAAAAATTAAAGAATTCTATCAAGAAAAATAATCATTTTAGCTTAGAGAAAACCCTCTTCTCTTTCAATAGTGTATGTGAAAATATTAGCTTTATTAGGTTTCTACCGTAAAATTAAAGCATAAAATCCAATCAAATAATCATTTACAGACAGCCACTAATGACAAAGAAAAGCAGAGGAGCCTAATTAGAACAAACGATAAATTTCAACAAAATACAGATAACCTAGACCCTTAAATTAACAAACTTACTCATTACTTTAAGATGAGGAAAACTCATTCAGAGCTTGTTTAAAAAAAAAGGATTCATCTAAATTTTACAATCTAGAGTTTGTTTTTAAGAGTTCCTCTTTTAACTATTTTTACGTTATCTTTTAAGACTGTCCAACGTCCTAGAATATAGCACTGTCTAATAGAATCTTCTGCACTGGTAGAAATGTTCTATATCTGCACTATCCAATATGGGATGCACTAGCCACATGAACACTACTGAACACTTGAAATGTGGCTAGTGGAACTGAGGAAGTAAATTTTAATTTTTATTTAAATTTAAGTAGGCATATGAGGCTAGTGGCTACCATATTGTACAACACAGTTCTAGAAGCTGTCTTACTGGAATTCTCTTATAAAAGTAAAATTTAAAAATACTAGAAAATCTTTGACTTTCTGGTAATAAATTAATAATGGTAAATAACAGCTAAGCAAAAGCAGCATTTCTGGTAGAAAATGTCAGAGTTGTGATGCAAGAGCTTATTTTCCATTGTAAGGCAGCCACCAAGAATCATTAGAGCAAGAATTACTCTTCACCTCTTACTTGTGAAACAGGCTTCCAAACAATTACCACAATCACATACCAGGGTTCCATTAATGTCCTGACTCAGGTTCTTCATCTCCCCAACAATGAAAGCAACCAAGTAAGTGCTCATCTTCACACTCTCAGAAAACTCATCCTGAACGAGTCCATCTTCTATAAGGACTGATGATTTCTATAAGCAAAAAGGGGAAAGATGACAGTTCTGTAACTATGGGAATGAAAGACAGTGACAAATGAACAGAGAAAAACTGAAAACTCAAAACGAAACAAGTAGCGAAGATGCTGGCATATTTTAATCACTCAGCATGAGTTTCTGGCAGACCATGACCCTTAGTTTCAGTCTGTCCTACCCTTCTTCATCATCAGGACATACTGAGTATAAAAGATAGCTTTAAATACAAGAGACAGTAAATAACAATGTTTCTGTTTCTCCCCTTTAAAACACCACCAAAACCAATATCCTTACTTATGACCTAGGAGTGCTCTACTCTACTGCTATAAATTACAGTCACAGAATAAAGAGCTATATAGCTGGGATGCCAAAAGGTTTCATGCCTCCAAATGCTGTGAAATGGCTTCTTTGAGTGCCATGCTGAGGACTCTGAGAGGGCTCAGTCGGATAACAGGCAGTAAGTCATTAGAGAAGGCTGCAGTAGGCACAAGACAAGGAAATACAAGCAACCCTGCAGGACTTCTAACTCTGAATTAAGATATGTTTTGGGATAGTAGGCAAGTAGGCATCCACTTCTTTTAGAGGAAGATTATGCCGAAAAGAATGGCTGGGAGTGGAGTTCTTGGAGTGACATCTTTGTTTAAGGACAGATCATGTCCTCTCCTGCTTCCAGGGGCTGATTCTATAGTCGATCAGGTGTAGCTGCTCATCTCTCCTAACCACATGGGTTCCAAGGAGGCGCCTATCAGGTTGCACACAGTCCCTCAAGTGTCAGAGACTACAAAAGAATCCCCTAGGTCCTGCTTAGCATAAAAGCAATTCTGCTTGGTTGCATCTTCCCCCTCACTGCCTCCCATGTAGAGCTAACACTTGAGAAAGAGGCTCCTATTCTTGTAGTCAGTCTTCAAATTACAACAATATAGATTTTTCACTTAGCAATAAAACACAAAGAACAATCATGATTCCACACCATCAAACACCACTGGTTAGAAGAGCAAATTCACCATCTGCCATATCACTCTGATCTTTAGTGCTAGTGTATACTGTTAATATTTGCACAACTGGAGCCCTGGTGGTGCAATGGTTAAGCGTTCGGCTGCTAACCAAAAGGTCAGCAGTTTGAATTCACCAGCTGCTCCTTGGAAACCCTATAGGGCAGTTCTACTCTGTCCTATAGGGTCACTACGAGTCCAAATCGACTCGACGGCAACAGGTTTGGTTTTTGGTTTTTTTTAGTATATAGTTCACACTTCACATTTCCTACCCATACATTCCAAGTCCACCAGGTCCTTCTTTCCTCAGGTGCTCCGGGAGCTGGCTTTTCCCAGTTGTTCCCAACATACATTTTACCTTTTATTTAAGTATTGTAAGAAAGAATAAGAATGCATATGATTTTAATCATTCTTAACAGAGGCCTGGAAAAGATGAATTCAAGTGTTCTTAATAAAGAAAGAAACCCACTTATGATTTCACATTCCAAGGAATAGAACAGTACCTTAGGCATATTTGACAAAGCAGTGTGTTGCTCATCCCTGATGATCTTGATGATAAATGTGGCTTTAAATGCTGGTTCATCAAAACAAGGAAAAGCAGATCTTGCGGCCAGGGGTTCAAATTGAGTTGCTGCAAAGTACCTACAACAAATACAAATTCAATCCAACAGTTATTGAGCATCTACTATTCAAGGTACCATGCCAAGTACTAGAGATACTAAGATAAACATCATACAATCCCAGCCATTAAGAGATCCACAATCTATGGGAGAGGCAGGGGTTTATACGACAGACAGAAACTTAAGTCAGGCTCCAAATCATGTCATAACAACAGTGAAAACAAAGTGGTGGCAACAAAATCTACGAAGGGTCCTAAAAGAGTCATATTTGAAAAGGGAGCAAAAGGAAGAAAGTACATTCTAGAAAGAGTAGATGGCACAAGAAAAGACACAGAGCAGTCCATGTTCAGGGACTAGGGGGCTATCCAAAGCGGCAGGAGATGAGGCCATAAAGGTAGGCTGTGGCTGGCCAGTGAGGCCTTTAAAAGGTTTCTGATGGAAGAACAGAAAGATGGGTAGTCATTATATGCCATTAATCATATTTCAGACTCTGGCTTCTTAACACTAAACAATTTTATAACTTGCACTTTCATGAAGACGGAAAAAACCAAGTGTCCCGTACTATGCTGGTTTCCTTTACTCTATTCAATGATAAATCAATTTCTTTTTTCTCCCCTTCCTACAGCACAGCAGCAACATTTGAAAATTTAACTCGTAATTTATTTTTGTTGTTGTAGAAAATACACAGCAAAACATATACTAATTCAACAATTTCTACATGTATAATTCAGTGACACTGATTATATTTGAGTTGTGCAATCATTCTCACCTTCCTTTTGAGTTGTTCCTTCCCCATTAACATAAACTCACTACTCTCTAAGTTTCCCATCTAATCTTTCAAGTTGCTGTTGTCAATTTGATCCCATATAAACAGATCTTAAAAGAGCACAATGCTCAAAGCAGACATTCTTTACTAGCTAAGCTAAACTATTATTTGGTTTTAAAAGACCTCAAGGGATATTTTTAGTTTAAGTTTTAAAGACTATCTCAAGGCAATAGTTTCAGGGGTTCATCTAGCCTCCATGGTTCCAGAAATTCTGGATTCCATGATAATTTTAAATTCTGTTCTGCATTTTCCCTCTTTTGATCAGGATTCTGCTATAGAATTTTTAATCAAATTGTTCAGTAATGGTAGCTGGGCACCATCCAGTTCTTCTGGTCTCATGGCAAAGGAGGCAGCTGTTCATGGAGGCAATTAGTTAGATATTCCATTTACTCTATTCCCATCTCTCCTTCTTCCTCTGTTATTCCAAGCAAACAGAAACCAATTTCTGTACATATAGTAAGTGTTTAACAACATGTTGGGAGAAAAACATAAAAAGGGAGAAAAATGCAGATTTTCAGTTAAGCATTTCCTCTATATTTCTTAAGGAGATCTTCTGCATTTTGACAATCACCCAAACATGGCCACAGAGTAATCAGGATTAAGTGTGGCACTGCTGTGCATATTTCAGGTACTGGTCAACATGGCATGTATATAACCACCCACTTTGGAAGTGGTAGCCTCTCTTGCTTAGTGGTTAATTTTCCACTTTTAGAAGATAAGCAAAAAAGAAAGAGCGTGAGGTTTGAAGTCAGAGGACTCTAATTCTGCACTTTACCACCCAAATAACTTTGGGCAAACCTATGACCTAAGTCTCAGCTTCCTTAGTTGTTAAATTAAGATTGAAATACATTCCCTATCAAAAACACAGGGTTTTTGTTAGAATCAAATAACACTATGTATAATAAAAACTACTGTTTACCATAATACTCTATACAGATGTTTGTTATTATAAATACTGTACAGCCATAACTCTTCATTTTCTTTCACACTTAAAATTATTGCACTTTTTCCTGGTAATAACGTGCCTCAACAACTGCTTCTATTGAGTAAACTCCAAGAAAGATAGTAATCAACTTACATGAAACAATTTAAGCATATTACGTTTCTAACATTCCATTCCATCACCCTGCCACATCTCCTCTTACTCAGATGACAGGTTTTGGAAGAGGGTCACAAGTGACCAGGGGATAAAGTTTGTGCCCAGGGTATAGTCTGATGATATTCCTACTATCCACACAAGGCAGCCTACTTGGACCATCACTTTTGGATAAAAGTTGGATCATAAAAATTTTACAACCAATAAAATCTTATTGTTAAAAGAGAGACAATAACAACTCACATAAAAGTCTCTTTGAAACGGCTGCTGCTTGATGATACTTGTATTTTGTCCTGTCTATGCTGAATACCTTGAAGGTTATTCTTTAATTACCTAGTTGCTGTCGAGTCAACTAAGACTCATAGTGACCCCATGTGTGTCAGAGTAGAACCGTGCTCTATAGGGTTTTCAATGGCTGATTTTTTGGAAGCAGATTGTCAGGCCCTTCTTCCAAGGTGTCTCTTTGCCCGTTACCCACTGCCGTCAAGTCGATTCCCACTCAACCTGGGTGGACTCAAATCTCCAACCTTTACATTAGCAGCCAAGCACATTAACTGTTTGCAGTGACCAGGGACTCATTTTCTTTAATTAGTGACTATTATTTGCTTTCAGAAATACTAGTTACAGTTTGAGCACTACTTCAAGACTCATCACTAGTCTGAAAACTTTGCTTAAAAAATTTTATGTCTTTTTCAAAGGGGTACCCTTGGTTTGGCCTATTCCTGCTGCGGCTCCCCAGGTATTCAGCCAAGCAGTAAGGCCAACTCCACGTGCTCATCAGCAGGAAAACAACAACAAGAAGGGTATATTTGAAAAATTAATGTTGAGAGAGGGGTTCCTCTGAATCAAAAGACTCTGCTCACATTAAGCAGACACATTTTGGTCTTCCACTCCATACTACTTCCTCCGAATTAAAGTCTGTTTTCATGTAGTAATTAACCTGGATATTATTTCTAAATATGTTTCAGATTAACTTCACCAGATTTTGCTAAAGCAAAACACAGCTGTTCCAGGCTGTCACTATCTCTAGTTACAATGGAAAACCTTTCTCCTAAAACTAGAGCTCATTCACAGAGGTCTAGAGTTTTAAAAAAAGCTTGCTATAAAAATTGTGCTCCAAGAAGTGACCTATAAGTTATATAAAGTAAAAGAACTTGACAACATGTCTCCTTTAAAGAAAAATAAATTGAACCCTTTGTAGAATAAATGTTTTCTACCCCCTGCTTTATTACCCAGCCTATTGCATTTTTCTAGAGAAAAACTTAACAGCATTAATTCCAGACTTTAATTCCATAACTCAACACACCTACTCAATACCATAGGGAGTGCTCACCTCATACATCACTCAGAGCTGAGAATTATGAGTTTCCAATGGAATCTACATCATGAGATGTTCAGGTAGCCAGAATTAAAACCACGCAATTGGAAAGACTGGGCACAAAAAGATAGGTCACTCACAATCTACTTTAAGAAACAAACGTGTAAACCAACAGCTTTGTGATAATAAAGTATGTACAAAGTGCAGAGTGACAGCACACACAAGATAACTAACTCTGGTGGAAAAGGTCAGTTCTGCTGGAGCACATTACATCCAAATTGGAATGTAAAGGACAATTATGAATTAGCTGAGGGTCAGGTAAGAGAATTCTAAGCACTGGGAATAACAATGTACAAAAGTAAAGAGGGTGACTTAGCGAAGCAGTACATCACAGTGGTTAAGAAGGTGGCCTATGTAGTTAAAATGACCTTGGGTTTACGTTCCCTCTCTGCTACCTGCTAGCTGTAAGATATTAGATGAGTTACTTTATATGCCTCTACCTCCTCGGCTGTAAAATGGATATAATATATCTACCTCTTACAGCATGTGGAAGGATAAGACACTATTGTGGATTAAATTTTATCTCCCAAAATGGATGTTGTAAATCCTAACACCTACACCTGTGAATGTAATTCCATTTGGAAAGAGCATTTTCTATGTTATGTTCATCAGCCCATGTAAGTGTAAGGTGTGTTTTAAGCCAATCACTTCTGAGATATAAAAGCAGGAGGTTAGGCATAGAAACAAGGACAAAAGGGGGAAGATAGATGCCACATGGAGATTTCCAAAGTGCACTGAGAACACCACTAGAGAAGCTGAGACAAGAATTTTCCCCCAAAATGGAGACAGCCTTCTCTTAGAGCCAGCACCCTGATTTCAGACTTCTAGTCTCCTGAACTATAAGAAAATAAATTTCTGTTCACTAAAGTCACCCAACTGTACTTGTTATAGAAACTAAGACAAAGACTAAACATATACTTGGAACAGTATTCAGCATTGCAGTTCTCAGTAAATGTTGCCTAATATTATCAGATTTCAGGAAAGTGCACAGAAAGTTCCATGAGGTCTGTTAAAAGAAACAAGGTTCCAGATTATGAAAGGTCTTGAACCAAATCCTTCTAGAAATGAGGAACTGCTGAAGGATGTCTACCAAAGAGTAACACAGTCAGACATGCACTTACAGAAATACGAATCTGGCAGCAGTGTTGAAGGTGGGAAGCAGGGGAGGGGGAAGCTGTGGTAAGATTAGAGGTGAGGAGATCTGTTAAGAATTCAAGAAAAAGATGCTGAGCAACTGAAGGATAAAGAAAATACACAAAATATACCCCCATCCTAAATATATTTACTAGCTCTTTTAGTATCAGATTGTTATCTAGAATCTTAAGTCTCATCATCAACAACTTCTAGATTTAAATGCAAGGTTACTGATGTCTCCTCCTTTTAGATCACATGGGTAAAGCTTCCTTATTACAAACAACAACTATGTAACATGTTCGGCTTTTCATACAGTCTGATTCTCCAATCAGTAAGAAATAATATCCTTTAATCACTTTATCTACCAGTTTAAGTATTTATTCTAATTACACTTGAGGGAAACAAACATATAAAAATTTCTCTAATAGAACTAAGAAAATTAAAGTGAGAGAAAGAAAAAAAATGCTCTAAACTTCAGTTCCCAGATATCCTGAAAGGTATAAATAATTTTTTTAACTCTCACCTTATATCAAGAGATACAATCACATGTGGGGGATTCATTTTACTGAACCAGGTAGGCTAATGAAACAGCACAGTTTCACAGAATAATTTACTTCAATAGCTTTTAAAAATATTTTTTACTACTCTATTTCTTAATTTATGGAGCAACTGTCTTCCTTAAAGACAATTTAATCCCGCCTGTGGCAAGAGTCAATGAGTATACCAAAAGATACCTTCCTCTGCTACACAACATTTACTTCTTCCGTCATACAGCAGCACGTTCAAGGAATTCAAGGGGCAATGATGCGATTGAGGAGATGGCAAGACTTGATTTAAATGACTGTACTAAGAATATTTCTTTTATGTATATACTTCCTCAGGATGATGAAGATTAGAGGAGGAGGACTAAAATCAAGAAACCCCAAATCATCATTGTAATCAAAAATTTTCTTTCAATGCAGTTGTTAAGCCAGCATGCCATTTATTTAAAAAGTACTAGATAAAGGGAAAAAAGTTAATTTTCTGAATAGAACTACAGATCTTGCTTGATCTCTTTCCCTATTGAAGAAGGATCAGAGAGTTTCCTTAAGATAGATTTAAATATTTATTTCTACCCATTTCTCTCAATGCACCAATATACATTAACCACATGGTCAACATCAGCAATTCACATACTAGTTTACAGAGAAATCTGAAAGAATGCTCAAACTGTATAACGTAGATCTAAAAGGACTCTGTGCATAGAAAAGAGCTGATGTTATGGCTAGTTAAGAATAACCTGTATACAGTGTGTACTGCATCTCTCCAGAAATTCAAACTACACGCCATGAGTACTAAGATTAAAGTACAAAACAGCTCCAAGTAAGGAACTGAACCCTTTAATGTTTTGTCTCACTTTTTTTTTTTCTTTAAACCAAATTAAGTATCTCCTTGATTTTTTTTTTTTTTTTTAATTTTCATCAGAAATCCAAAGTAGTCAGAATGGCATTTTAAAAACAAACCAGCAAAGATTGTCATTAGGCACTGTAAAGTCTGTTCAGACTCACAGCGACCCCATGTACAACAGAATGAAACACTGCCAGGTCCTGTGCCATCCTCACAACTGTTGTTATGCTTGAGCCCACTGTTGCAGTCACTGTGTCAATTCATCTTGTTGAAAGTCTTTTTTGCTGACCCTCTACTTTACCAAGCATGATGTCCTTCTCCAGGGACTGGTCCCTCCTGATAATATGTCTCACCATCCTTGCTTCTAAGGAGCATTCTGGCTGTACTTCTTTCTAAGACAGATTTGTTCATTCTCCTGGCAGTCCATGGTATAGTCAATATTCTTCACCAACACCATATTTCAAAGGCATCAACTCTTCTTCCGTCTTCCTTATTCACTGTCCAGTTTTCACAAACATATGAGGCAATTGAAAACATCATGGCTTGGGTCAGGTGCACCTTTGTCCTTAAAGTGACATCTTTGCTTTTTAACATTTTAAAGAGGTCTTTTGCAGCTGATTTGCCTAATGCAATGCGTCATTTGATTTTCTGACTGCTGCTTCCATGGGCGTTGATTACGGATCCAAGTAAAATGAAATCTTTGACAAGTTCAATCTTTCCTTCATTTATCATGAAGTTGCATACTGGTCCAGTTGTGAGGATTTTTGTTTTATGTTGACGTGTAATTCATACTGAAGGCTGTGGTCTTTGATCCTCATCAGTGAGTGCTTCAAGTCCTCTTCACTTTCAGGAAGCAAGACTGTGTCATCTGCATATCGCAAGTTATTAATGAGTCTTCCTCCAATCCTGATACTCTCTTCTTCTTCATATAGTCCAGCTTCTTGGATTATTTGCTCCGCATACAGACTGAGTAAGTATGGTGAAAGGATACAACCCTGACACACACCTTTCCTGACTTTAAACCATGCAGTATCTGTCTGAATAACTAACTGCCTCTTGGTCTGTGTACAGGTTCCTCATGAACACAACTAAGTGTTCTGGAATTCCCATCCTTTGCAATATTATCCATAATTTGTTTGCTCGACTGTGTGGATCTTGACAAATTATGGATAACATTGCAAAGCAAAGATTAAGGATACTAAAAATGATATATGGAAGCATATTATACGTCTTCATGCTCCCCCTTTCCATCTCATTAAGTATCTCCTAAAAGTTCTGCACACTAGAAGATAAGTCTCAAAGAATAATCCATACTCTTCTTCATTCTGCTTCCCACAGAGACTTTATGAGGTGCTAGAAAATTAAGATTCAACTTATAAGACATGAAAAGCTTAAAGTAAGTTAAATTTCTATAAAAGAAAATTCAACTGATCTAATCTTTATTCATTCCCCTTCACCAGCACATCCATACCACCACTCCACCACTCCATATGCTTAAGGCTTTGACTAAGAGAGAAGTTATACACTTTTCCAAATCACCATTCTACTATTTTGCACATAACCACCTAAATGAAAAATAAATAAATTTCAGTTAGAGTCTCCGATATGGGCAAAGGGATCCATGCTCCAGAAGTTATCACAGAGCATAGAACCGGAATCATTTAAAAAGGCTACATACTTTTTCTCATTATTTTCATCTGTATAGGAGATGCCATAAAACCCGTAGTAAGAAGTAGATATATTTGCCGAATACTCTATCTTCACGGTATAATTGTGCCCTTCCAGAAGGGCTTCAGGGGCAACAATGGCAATTTGTTCATGAAATGGATATTCCAGGATCTCAACTTGCTTTTCTTGGCTTGAAACTGCTGACATAACAGTTACTCTTGAAATATTATGGCCTGTGCTATGAAGAATGATATTCCACGTGGCCTGAAGAACCTGAACTGAGATCGTCACAGAACCCCTGAATGTCATTGAGGTTAGGTTCGGGTGCAGGTTAAGTTCATAGCGTAGTGGCTTAATGGCAGTGGGAAGCCTGATTTGTGCCCATGGAAACAATTTCCCATTTGTTGCAAATGGCTGAATTAGTCCCATTGATTGGTTTTTTTTATGGCAGCCTTCTTTGGTAAAGGTACATTTGGGCAATAGGTAAATCACCATGATAACAGAAACAGCAACCACAACGACAAAAGCACAGACCACCATGGTCCTTGCAGAGGGTACTGAACAACTGCCATCAGGGCTCTGCCTGTAGCTGGCTGCACTGTTCCGAAGGCCTGAGCTTCTGTTCATAAAGGACATGCCCAGGAGCTTTGCTGATGACTCATAATCCTCTTCATCCTCATCCATCTCATGCTCCCCAAGACCCCGCACCAGCAGACGTGAACCCCGGGGCTCATATTCCACCTCATCAGGCTCTAGAGGATGTAAACAAGGCTCTTTGGCTAAATCCACCACATCTGGTTCTTCCTCAAACATGCTGTTTTCAATCATATTCCGGGGGAGCTGAAGCCGATCTAAAAAGTCAAAATATAAGAACAAGATACGGAGTTAGAAAAGAAAGCTCATAATGAAATGTCTCTTAGCAAGATCATATTTAATCTAACAATTTTATCACTAAGACTTATTTCTACTTCAGTGCTACTGAATTAATAAATAAAATGCTAATGACATTCTTGGGTCATCCATTAAAAACCCGAGCATAAAATACCACAGCCACGAAACAAGAAAGCTAAATACACAGGCTAGTGTCAAAAAAAAACAAAAACAAAAAAAACAGCTGAGTTTATATACTAAATTTCCTTAGTACACTCCTACCCAACAACCTGGGCCCCTGCCCTGGGCTTTAGAGGGCTTTGCTTTGGCCTGTCTCTGTATCTGTCCTCACAGGGTAAGGAATCGGCAGGATCAAAGACAATACCTACCCATAGTCTGTGTCCCCCTTCTAGGGTATGGGTACCAGGACCCCAGAATACCTGTCCCAAAAGGCTCAAATTTGCTTTCAGGGCCTTTGTGGGTCTCTTCCTTCAGGCCCACCCTTCAAAGGGAGGGCCACAAACAGGTGTGTCTGTTTCTAGGCCTGAATAGTGGCCAAGGGACATGCTGGGTTTTTCCCCCCAGGAGAGGGATGGTCCTGTCTCACAAACAGGAAGCAACAAATTATATAGGAAATTTCCAAATGTAAGAAATAATAAAAAATAATAAGGTAGAAAAAAACTATAAAAATCAGATAAAACTGTAATTCAAGCTCCCCCCCCCACTCTTCCTCAGCATTCAGAAGTACAATATATTCCCATCTGTAATAACCATATTATATACTAGTGAATGTCAGTGGATGCTAGGGTAGGGTAGTGGTGCGAGCTTTTACAAACTAAAAGAACCATGCCCGCCACCTTGCCAAGATCTAAAAGGAGTGGGGGTAAATAATCCTACATATATTAACAATTCCTATGATTAGATCAGGAGCTCTGGTGGCACAATGGTTAAGCCCTCAGCTGCTCACCAAAAGGTTGGTGGTTCAAATCTACCAGTTGCTCCACAGAAGGAAGATGTGGCAGTTGGCTTCTATAAAGATTACAATCTTGGAAACCCTATGAGGCAACTCTACTCTGTCCCACAGGGCTGCTAGGAGTCGGATCTGACTCAACAGCACACAACAACATGATTAGATCAGTCAATGTTCCTTAAGAATCATTGAATTTTAGCTTTTAAGGGATCTCAGAAGTTATCAAATTGAAACCCCTATTATCTTTTCCCTAAAAGGCAAGAAGTATTGTTATTTAGAAAGATTTTCATTCCCAACTCTTCTAACATTTATTAGCCACTCCAACCATTTTAGCAATCATCATTATCCATCCAGACCTTCCTCGTTGGGCACAGAGTTCTTGAGGACCACCTCCTTTAGTAAATCACCAAAAACATAAATTCTGACAACAGCTGCCAACCATTTGTACATCAGCAAAAACACTGAACAAAAAAGTAAAAACACAAAAAGAAGACACATGGTTTCATTACACAGTAAAAATCAAACTGTTAAGCAACCAAAAAGAAGGGACTACCTATGCTCTCACGTATCTGCTCCACAAGTTAGTCAAAGAGTCTGTTTAAGTGGCAGGGAGAAAGCGATCAGAACCACGTACTTGTACTTAGGAACCTCCACCCACCAGTTCACAGCGCAATGCTAACTAACCTGAAAGGATGATGAACCACACTACTATAACTGAGTGGAAAAAAATGAAGAAAGGGCTTTTTGAAATGACCCTGCATTAACTGGTTTCACTGGAATATTTCTTCCAATCAAAGAGAGAATCAAATGAGAGCTTGGGAGTATTTTGTTTTAAAAGAGAAGGTTTTTTGGTTCCCCCCAACCCGCCCCAACTTTTAAAGCTTATTTCTTACTAACATGCTTAAAAAAGGGAAGTGTCAGCATGCACACTTATTCTCCAATTAAATGTCAGATAGTGTTAAACATATTAGCTGCTAACTTATTATTTCCTTAAAGACACAATTCAGCACTGGCTATTTCTGGCATATGAGGAACAGCTATGCTCTATTCCCTGAAAACTTCTGCATAGGAAAGAGAAATTGGCAAATAGAAGTTTCAAGAAATTAACAAGTGATTAGCAAAACAGATAAAAATATTTTCAAATGTGCTTTAGAAGTGGTTTTATACATACAAAACAAAATTTCAAATATAAAATATTTAACTTTTAAATGTACAGATATGAAAATGTATATTATAAAATTAATTTACATATAGTAGCAGCTAACATTTGTTGAATGTTTTATTTATTTGTTGTTGTACCAGGAACTGTTCTATCATCTTACACATATTAGTTCATGAATCTTCACAAATCTATGAGGGCATTGTTTTCTCCGTATTATATATGAGAAAACTAAGGCAGAGAGATCATTAACTTGATCAAGATCAAACAGAGAAGCACACATCTAAAAGAAGAATTCTCAGTGTAAACCAAACTAGCATCCGGCACATAGAACAGTTTGAAGGCACTTATTTGAAACAGTTCCCATGCGCTACAGGATGTTCACAGATAAAACATCATGTAAAAAAATAAAAGCAGCATCTTCCCTCATCCTCAGCAAAATGAACCACATCTTGTAGCTGAAATCACAACAGTCTAATTTGAAAACATCAGTCTGTAAGAAAGTTGCTTCTGAAGTAGGAGATCACGTTGTTGCATTAAAGTCAACTCTGCATGAATAGAGCAATCACCAGCAAGTAGGGAAAAGTGGAATTCCTAAATGCTCCCTACAGACGCTTAACCCAGGGCCTTTGCTCCAATTGTTCCAAGAGCTTCAAATACATGCTACTCCCTCCTCAGTCCAATAAGCCGCCCCATCACGGTCATCAAGATACCCACCATCTAGTAACCCAACTGACACATCACAGACACTCAACAAGTATTTGCTGAATAAATGAACGAATGGAGGGGAATGCAGCACTTATTCAGTATCTATCATGCTTACAGGTTCAATTCGAGCAGGATCCAGACTACATCATTCTGTTCCATAATTTTTAGTGCAATAGAAAGTCTTCGATGAAGCTCCACAGTACTTGAGAAATAAGGCTCAGCAACATGATACGTTAAATGCAAAAGTCAACATAAACTCATAACTTTGAGAAAGTCAGAAAGATGTGTTTTTTCCAATCTGCCACTACTTTTGCTCACTACCACCATTACCACCACAACCACCACCACTCATGCACCGCGATACTCAGTTATTGTCTCTAATGCAGTTCTCCACTAAAAAGATAGGATTCTCCAAAAGTCAGCTGATTCCTTGTCTTAGGGTATGGAAACTCAGTAGTTCTGGAATATTCTGCTGCTGTCAGGAGCAGTGACAGAAAAACTTACTAAAATAGAATCTGTCACAAGAGAACTACAGAATGTTAATGTAACTGCTATTTGAACCAGTAGGTTCAACTATTTTAATAATTTGGCTATATCACAGTTACTAATATTAATAATAAATCAGTATTAAAAATTATAATTTATTAATTGACAACTATGTGCCAGGCAGTTTATCATTTCTAACCTTCACAACAATTCTATAAAATGGCAAGTATTCCTATAGCTATTTTAGAAATGAGAAAAGAGAAAGGGGTTAATTCATCTTCACAAAGTCACACAGCTAGCTAGTCACAAAACTGACATTAGAGCCCAGGTCTAAAAATAGGATTCCCAATTTTAGGCTCTTTCCACTATCATATTGCATCATCCTTACCCAAATTAATTTAATAAAGGATAAGAGCTTGTATCTAATTTATTTATTTATTTTGTATTTGGCAATGAAGTTGCTAAAAGGATTATTTCACCAAAAATAAAAAAGAAGGCTATTCACTATCAGCAGAGCAAAACTTACATTCTAATTAAGAATATCTAGTTTAGCAGAAATGTTTTGTATTTTGTGCTATTCAACACATACTAACCCAAAAGTGATAATTCATAATCCATGAAACAAAGTACTGATAAATATTAGGATAAAATTTAGCTTTGCTACTCAAAGTATGGTCTGTGAACTAGCAGCATCTGTATCAGTGGCAGCTTATTAGAAATGCAGACTTTCAAATCCCCTCCCTAAATCTCAAATTTAACAAACTCTCAGGTGATTTATGCACTCATAACTTTGAGAATGCTGGAAGCTATGCCACCGGTATTCAAATATCAGCAGGGTCACCCATGGCAGACAGGCTTCAGTTGAGCTTCCAGACTAAGACTAGGAAGAAGGACCTGGCAGTCTACTTCTGAAAAGAATTAGCCTGTGAAAACCTTATGAATAGCAGCAGAACATTGTCGGGTATAGTGCTGGAAGATGAGCCGCCCAGGTTGGAAGGCACTCAAAAGACAACTGGGGAAGAGCTGCCTCCTCAAAGTAGAGTCGACCTTAATGACAGGGATGGAGTCAAGCTTTCGGGACCTTCATTTGCTGATGCGGCACAACTCAAAATGAGAAGAAACAGCTGCAAACATCCATTAATAATCAGAACATGGAATGTACGAAGTATGAATCTAGGAATATTGGGAACCGTCAAAAATGAAACGGAATGCACAAAGATCGACATCCTAGGAGTTAGTGAGCTGAAATGGACTGGTACTGGCCATTCTGAATGGGACAATCATATGGTCTACTACGCAGGGAATGACAACATGAAGAGTAATGGAGTTGCGTTCATTGTCAAAAAGAACATTTCAAGATCTATCCTGAAGTACAACTCTGTCAGTGATAGGATAGTATCTATATGCCTACAAGGAAGACCAGTTAATATGACTATTATTCAAATTTACACACCAACCACTAAGGCCAAAGATGAAGAAATTGAAGATTTTTACCAACTTCGCAGCATGAAATTGATCGAATGCAATCAGGATGCACTGATAATTACTGGTAATTGGAATGCAAAAGTTGGAAACAAAGAAGGATCGGTAGTTGGAAAATATGGCCTTGGTGACAGAAACAATGCCGGAGATCACATGATAGAATTTTGCAAGACTAC